ATAATAATTAATATTAATAATAATAATATAGTTTTTTAATATTTTAAAACAAATGTAATAACATTAAAATAGTGATATCAATATATCTGTATGGTAAAGTTCACACAAAAACTATGTGCATCCTAAGCAAAACAAGCTGTAATTGAAAGCCTGTTAAAAAAATCATTTTAATTAAAATTCCAGGTTTTGATTATTAAAAAACAAATTCTTTCTTAAAATAACAAGCATATCAATTGTAGTCACAGCTCAGGTTGCTCGCAAAAGATGGGGACTAAAATCCAAAGCTGTTAGCATCATCTATGATCTTATTTTTACACCCATCATCACTTACGCTAGTGGCAGCTGGGGCTGGGCCGCCAATAAAGTTCATCTGCACAGGAAGTTGATATCATCACAGCGTAAAGCCCTAATCCTAATCTCCGGGGCCTACAAAACTACACCAAATCATAGTCTACAGATTATTGCCCATAAGCCACCCATTACCAATATCATTCAAGCCAGCTACAAGCTCTGGAAACTCAAAACTGGGCATGACATCAGCATTGATACCTACAACATTCCTGCTGCTAACTATGAAAGTATGAATCCATTCATCGACATCACCCCTCCGTATATCAATAGTTACATTAGCACCGACATGCCCAGCAACCCTGACTTGGAGATTTATACAGACGGCTCAGGCCTTAATGGGAACATCGGTTGCACCTTCATTGTGCTAAGGGAAAATCATGAGATCCATCATCAAATGTACAGACTCGACGACTTATGCAGCATTTTCCAGGCCGAACTTGTGGCCATTCACATGGCCATAGACTGGTCTGAGCAGCACTGCACAAATAAGCAGATTGCTATCCTTACTGATTGCCAGTCCGCCATTAAACTCATTAACAGTAGACAGCTACATCCACTCTCTACTACAATCAAGAAACTCACTTACAACTCCACCAACAACTACTGCATCAGCTGGGTTCGCGGGCATCAAGGCACTACCGGTAACGAAAGAGCAGACCAGCTGGCGAAGGATGCCGCCACCAACGATAACACGCTTGAATCCATTTACCATAAGATCAGCCATAAAAAAATCAAAAATCTCCTATATACTGAAGTTCTTCATCACTGGCAAAATTCCTGGCACCTCAATCATAGCAACCAGACCCATCACTTCATTCCTAACGTTATTGATCACTATAGTTACACTTGGATTTGCAACAACTCTCAAGTCACACAGTTTATAACTGGTCACGGAAAATTCTCCAATTATCTGCACAAGTTCATGGGGAAACACTCTCCCCTCTGTGCCATCTGCAAGGAAGTGGCACCATTATCTATACAGATGCATCTGCCTCACAAAAGAACGACTAGAAATCGAACTAACGGCAAAGAAAATTAATATCTCTTGGCCATGTCAGCAGCAGGAACTACTTAAGCACAAGGAACTTTTTCCCACCTTCCTCAACCTAGTGCTCGCCTACGAATGCATAGCACCAATCACCACACGCGAGTAGTTCTACTTCTTCTAATTTCTTCTTTCTCATCGTCTCTGCCTTTGCTCTGGACTGCTGTATACGTATACTTACGCTACTTCTCGTGACAACTTACACATTTAAGCTCCTTGCTGCTTTGCAGCATTTCCTTCGTTGTACCGCACCTTATTCTCCAACTAGCTCAACACCTTCCTGGGCTCCATTTTTATTAAGACGCGTGTCATTATTCTGTTACATCTCGTTTTACATCCAAACCACATTTTTCGGGTATCTCTGTATAACCATATTCTGTCAGCAACGATTGTATTTATGTTGTATTACTATCTACCTCTACTCCTGTAAACAACTGTAATTATTGTATCTGGCTGGAATTTAGATGTATCAATACTCGTAGATAACGTTATTTTCTATGTATAACACCTTATTTTACCTCTGTTACTTCTGTAATTCATGTATTGCAAACAAGCTGTACTATACTTTTTTATGTTTCCACACCTGGCAGTGTATTGCGGCACCGGAAATGTACTTATTTTGTATATAATAAACGATATTGACTGACTGACTGTAGTCACATCAGCATTTGTGCATTTCTTTCATTTGTAACTTACCTGTGGTGAAGATTCGTCGACTTTTATTTTAAAATTCACAACAGTTTCATTCAGATAATTAACTATCTCTTCAAGTTCAACAGATTTCTTTTCATATTCCTGTATAAAGCAATATTAAATTAAATGATCATCTTTAAGTACTCTCAAAATATTATCAGCAAACAATTTATTATTTAATCTAATGTTTTCAGCTGTCTAAACTGCTATTTTCAGGATATCATCATCATAATCTAACCCAGAATATTAAATAACCAATACTTACTTGTAGGATACCTGCATAAGTATCTGCAATATATTGTGCACTTTCTGAGCACTCAACCAATTGCTTTGTCATTTCTTCATTCATACAATGAAATAATTTTTCAAAATTATTTATTTCTTCATTAAATTTATTGACGTATTGCTTGATTAATACTTCTTGTTGATCTTTCTATCAAAATAATCAAAAATTTTACACTTAATTTTAAAATTTAAATTTTTAAAGAAAGAACATGATTGAAATATTATGTATAATATAAATCACACCTCTTTACATATCAATTCTCTTAAGTTGCACATATCATTTTCCATTAGTTGATGAGTATTAATTATTTCTCCAAATAAAGGCATCAATTCATTTGAGATAGAATTGTTGCAATGGTTTACTGCACTCTCCTATAAAATTAATTTATCTATTTATTAATGAAACAGATATTCTTGTTAATTAAAAAATTTAATAAACTTTCAAACCATTAGTTCTTGTGCTGCCATTACAACTTCTTCTGACCATTTCTCCCTAAATTTCCCCTGTTCTATCCATTGATTGCTTAATTTTTTAATAAGATCTGAATGCTTAGCAATAAAAGATGCCATCATTTTTGACAAGGAAACTGAATTTTCTTCATACAGTTTTAATGTTTTAGCTGAAATACATTAATAGATTTATATCTAAACATCTTATGCTATTTTAAAATCAGTAAATTTAGTTTAAACTTAACTAAGATTTGTTTTTAGGAAAAATTTTCAATTGCTTCTCTTTTGCATTAAAAACATTCACATATGCTGTCTGTACATAATAAATTATCTGATTTTTAATTTAAATTACAAATTAATTTAGCTCATTTTGTTTGAAAACAGACAATGCAAAATGCATTAAAGTTGTTTAAACCAAATATGTGCATTTGTATTATATGTTTGGAAGCAGGCCAACTACTTAGTTTTTTCACACAAACAAAATTGTGATAAGACATAATCCAATCTATTTTTAAGATGAGAGAATTATCCATTAATTTTAGATATATTGTCTTGAGTTCAAAAATAAACTAATCCTCAAAAAATTTTTTATTTTCAAGAATATATTTTAGATTTATTGCTTTTTATGTTTATCATATGTTAAATTTAAACAGTAAACATAAAAAACGATTTTAAAAAAATACAAAGGTTTTGATTGAAAATATTTAAATTGCATTACAAAAAAATGCTTATTTGCAAATACTATTGAGTTGTAAAGTTAAAAATTTATTAACTTTTTGTATTATTGGTATTAAATTAATATCTAAATTTGAAAAACTAAAAAGAATTTTCAAATTTAGATCTTAATTTAATACCAATAATACAAAAAGTTAGTAAATTTTTAACTTTACAACTCAATACTATTTGCAAATATGCATTTTTTTGTAACTAAATTTAAATATTTTCAATTGAAACCTTTGTATTTAAATTTTAAAAAGAATTTTAAAATTTAGATATTAATTTAGTGCCAAACTATACAAGAACCATAGCAAAAATGATTAATAGTAAATATAAAAATAATGAGCATAATGAGCTAGAGAAATACGATGTAGAGAAATATAATATATGATTTGCAGTTGTTCTCATAAAAAAAAAGATATATTGGTGAAACCAGAAGAAAATTAAAGACAAGAATTAAAGAACATATACAGTAGACCCCCCTATAACGCTTAGATACGTTCCACGCTAACCGAAAATTACGTTGTAGGAATGATTAAATACGTGAGCCAATCGCAGCCCGATAGGTGGGAACTTTACGGACTAAGGCTGTACGAAAGGTTTTCTACTATAAAATTAACCGATTCTAGACTAATTCCACTCAACATTTCCAAAATACGTATAATTTTTTGGGAATAATCTGTATAAACTATGCTATAAACAAAAAATTGTAGGATTACTTACACCGTTCGACTACGCCGTTGCTTAAAGCTGGTTTTCATCGCGGAACAGCACACGAAACGACGGCCGCAATTTCTGATAACGAATTTTTGGCAGAAAAATAACTTGACCTTTGGAGACATCATTAATATAAATAATTTTTATGGACGTTGAATAAGAAGTGTTTCTTTCACAAGAAATGTATAAAATTAGTGCTGTATTAGACTTACGGTACCTAATTTACATACTGTGCAGACGATAATAAACTCAACTTACTAGCCTAAAATCTCCGTAGCGTGTTGCCAGGCGGCAGAAAGCATATATATAATTATAATAAAGTTACAATAAATTAAGTTAATATATAATTATATATACAGTACCTAATTTATATATAATTAATATATAATTATATGTACAGTACCTAATTTATATATAATTTATATATAATACTAAACAGACGATAGCAAACTCAATTTAGCCGCTCCGTAGCGTGGCGCAGGGTCGGAGGAAAGTAGTTCGGCTGCTCATCCACTATTGGTCCAGACTCTATCAATCTTGTCGCGAAACGACGTTATAGGAGGTACGTTATACAAAAGTTGCTACAATTTTTTCGCTACGTTATAGGAATTGTCGTTATAGGAACATACGTTATAGGGGGAGTCGACTGTATATGCCATCAAAAACAATTTAATATCATCAGTGGTACTACATTGCAATATCAAAGATTGTGAAATTTTAGAAAATAGTGTCAATAGTATTCTGACAGAAAACAATCAATTAAAAAGAAGATGACAAGAACACACAGAAATTCTGAAAGTACACGAAGACGTTAGAATAAATAACAACGTGGGACTGAAGCTACATGAGGGGTGGAGTGACATCATTTCACATAACCTTAAAAACGATGCTGAACAGATGAAGTAAAAGTTGCACCATATTGTACAATGAAAATTCTAACAAGGCAGTTTGCCTCACACTGTCTTATGGATTTGTTTTATTTAAAGGTCTGAAAACCAATTATTTTAATAATCGTAAGTTCACGGTTTAATTTTCCCTTCCTTTTTTTGGTTTTAATATATTTAACAATATTTTATTATTAATAGTGGAACTGTCTATCAGAATTTGGAAAATGTGAAAAAAGACATTTACTGGTTTCAAATAATGATATATATATATATATATCACATCATCATAAAAAATTTTTATGCTTGATATTTTCATATATGGTGTTGTATTAACTATTATGAATACAGTGCACTGTATTCACAATACAGTATCAAAAATTCCTTCGTATTGGTTAACTATTCCCGTTATAATTGTATTATGCTAAGGTGGTACTATGTGTTATAAGCTGATGAGGGGTCTTTGACCCGAAATGTATGCTTTCCTAAATTTGATTGTGATTATTAAAAGCTAATTTTTTGTAAAAAATCTAATCTATTTTTCCAGGCGGCCTTTATGTGATAAGCCCTCCAAATTGTTAAAACCTTATCTATTAGGTTATCTAACTATCTAAATCTGTTATTGCAGTCATAAATCCTAACACTTGAGAACTCCAATATCAGAAACCTCTGTTTACAGTGCAATAAACATTTCCAATTACCAAAGGCTAATAATTTTATTACATGTTTCCAATCTGAGACTTGATAATTGCAGCCAGGTGGTCTGAAGTTCATTAAAAATGCTTTTATATGCACAGTATTATATTTTTATACAAATATGAATAAAACATCTTCTATCACTAAAATATTTATTCTATAATAGTTTGTAGTTTTATCAAATTGGCTGCAAATCTTGATAATCCGGAAATGACATCCTAACTGCATAGAGCAGAGTTTGTGGGTTTTAGATGGTTTTAGATTTTTTAATTTGCAATATTCTGCTTAAAAATCGTGTTAGATTTTATCCGTTTTTATCACAAACATATCAGTGTTTATCATTGTTGACTTTATATTATTGTGTTTTAAAAATTCATAAATAAATAAAAATGAGATATTTTGAGCGTTTTTTCGATAAAGGCTTTAAAAACACAATATAATATTCACCTAACACCACAAAAACACCAATAAAACTATAATTTTTACAAAATACATGAATAAAAACGTTGTACAGGGAAGAACCGTGTGCCTAGTATTGAGAGATGACGCCTCAGGGGAAGTCAGGGTTCTAGCAGGGTGAACACTAGTAAACATAAATACTCAAATATAATGAGATATTCAATCATTATTGCTAATTATATGTGAGGGGACAGTTTTGTGGTCTATACAAAAAGTTCTACTCAATCTAGAATGATGAAATTTGTTGACATCATCGATGATGTCAGACAGAGGAAAAATCAATTTTACCCAATTAAAGATGCAATAAATAAACATTAACTTACTAATTGAATCATGCAATTTCTGATTATTTTCAGTCTGTTTTTCAGACAGCTCTAACAAATGACCTTCTAAAGATCTAATGCTTTGTTGGAATTTATTTCTAAACATCATTGTATGTTGTTCATTTGCAATTTCCACTGAATGTTTTCTATCTAGTTTTGCATGTAAAGCATTTACATCTCCTGTACTTTCATCTGCAACTTCAATCAGCTGCAATATATAAAATCAATTTTAATTAAATCTATTAAGTATACAATTTTAAAGTTTTGATTAAGTATAAATTTTAAAGTTACTCAAATACCTTCTGTGCATGAGAGACAAGCTGTTTTTCTGTTTTAGCTCTTTGTTCAGCTAAATATTGTTGTTCTGCCTTTTCAATTTCTGTTTTATTTAATTTCTATAAACAATCATTAAAAGTTTTTAAATCATTAAGCATTAAAACTATTTGTTAAAACAATTTAAAATTTTTATACCTCTTCTGTGTTTTTCAGCTTCTGTGTAGTTACAGTTAATTCACCTTCTTTTTCTTCAAGATCTTTATTACACTTTTCAAGTTCACTTGCTTTTTGTACTAGATGTTCTTGAGTTTCAATAAATAAAGCATTCACCTTAAATAAAATATAAGTAAGTATCAATATTCAAACTTCACATTTGAACATGATATTTTACAAAACTTGCCTTTTCCATTTGTTCTTTTAGTGCTTCTATTTCTGACACCAACTCTTTGATTGATTCAGATTTTCTACTTAATTCGTGCTGCATATTTCTGTAAATAAAAACAAATTAATTGATGTAACTAATCAAAATAACAACTTGTCTATGCATCCAAAATTGAAATTCTTTTACAATAACTTACTCATAATTTGTAGCATCAACAAATATGCCATTGCGCTCTCTTGCTGCAGCTAAATCTCTTCGTAATCTCTCTATTTCTTGTGTATATTCCTAATAAAATAAAAATTTTATTGAATATATTAGTTTAATTTTCACAATAATAATAAAATAAAACATTTCAAAAACACTTAATATAACTGATTTTTATAGCACGATCTCAGTAGAAAGCTGCAACATGATGTAACACTATACATTTTGTCTTAATGATTGATACTGATATCATGCTATATATATAAAATGATATACAAGGTCTGTTCAAAAAGTATCGGACCTTTGGTCGGCAAAAATAAATTTATTGATTTTGATATACAAAATCCTAATCCCCTTCAAAGTAGTCTCCTTGGTAGTGTATACACTTCTCCCAGCATTCCTGCCATTGCTGGAAACACTGCTGGAACGCATCTTTTGGAATGACCATCAGCCGGTCCGTCACATTCCGCGCGATGTCTTCTCTCGACTAAAATCGGGTTCCTTTTAGCAGCATTTTCAGCTTGGGAAATAGCCAAAGGTCACACGGAGCCATGTGGGGAGAGTACGGAGCGTGACGAACCACAGGAGTGTTGTGTTTGGCAACGAAAGCCTGAATCAGATGCGCAGAATGGGCGGATGCGTTATCATGATGGAGCTGCCAAGTTTTGATCGACCACAGATCCGGTCGTTTGTGTCGCACTGTATCGGAAAGACGACGAAGGACCTCCTGGTAGTACTCCTTTGCGATGGTTTGGCCTTGTGGTGCGTACTCACGACACACCACCCCACGAGAATCAAAAAAACTGTCAACATGACCTTTGATATTGCTGCGGACCTGCCGCGCTTTTTTTGGTCTCGAGGATCGTCCCAGAAAGCCTGCTGAATCTTGCGAATGGTTTACACTTGGGTATCGCCAAGGTTTTTGGCAAAATTTGATGTAATATTGCTGCTCACGTTCTTCAGTCATTTTCCAGCTTAGTGGAATCCAATGAGAGCGCACTACATGACCTCACTCATAGGCCGATGCAGGCGGGAAAAAATTCAGGGCTGTGCATGACTGTCCCCTCCACAACTCCACCGAAGGAGGCCTGTCGCGCATCATTGGTTTACGTGGAAAAAAATAAGGTCCGATACTTTTTGAACAGACCTTGTATAGAATATGAAATAATTTTTTAAAAATCATCTATTGCATCTTCTTGTAAATTAAATTTCAATGCAGCATTTGCTTTGTTGATAGAATTTGCATGCAACAAAAGTTTATTCTTGTTAATATAAGTAAAACCATTTCAATAATTTATCTATTGTGATCTGTATGCCAATTTTAAAATAAATTATCAGTTTTACATACTAATTTAAATGCAAAAAAACTAATCAAATATCAATGCGTTGCTGTGAAACACAAAAATATACTTTAAATAAAACATGAATGCATAAAATTTAAATGTCGAAAATTTATGAGGAAAAAATAATAATTAAAATATCAATTTTTTTTTGTCTATTCTAGTTTTAGAGAGAAGGGGAAAAGTTAATATAAGTTGAATGCTAATTAGTTTCATTCATGTCAGCAGTTAAACTGATCAGATTAAATTTACAATTTTTTTCCTGCATTTTTCCTACTTACCAGGAGAGACCACAAACTTCAGATCATGGATTTTAATGAAACTTATGTACATTAATCTACATAAAAAAATAAGTAGACACATGTCCAAGCGTTTTGCCAATGGGCCTTACTTAAAAAAGAAATTAAATGGAAAAACTTGTTAAACTCATAAGAATCATGCTTATAATCATATGAAAGTACACAATTCATTGTTAATACTGCTGCATTATGTAGAATTACTACAATCCTACATAATGCAGCTATATTAATGATAAAAACAATGATCATCATAGAAACAAGTGAAACATATTTTCAGCAACATGTATACAGCACAAAAGCTGATAGAAATCAAATTTGGCTAATATTTTCAAATACAAATCTTTCAGCAGTTAATCTTGCAGAAAATCAAGCATATTTGATCATGTTTGCAAAAGCAGTGGCTATTAAGTGGTAGTACTCAACCAAATGAATTTTAATTTTGTCTTCTTGAGATGCCACACATTTTTTGTTTAACACTTTATTTGCATTCTGTATTTTTCCATTAATTTCTTGACTTAACCAAAAAAATAAGCATTACAAGGTTGACAAAACAGTATGGAAGGATTATTTCTGTAGGCAGAACATTCATCATCATTATTGGTGAAAGTCTACTCACATATTTAATTTTGGTAGTTAATTTCTCAATAAAGAAGACCCATTGACAAACCCTCAAACACATGATTACTTTTTTACATGGATTAACCTATAAAGTTGTTTAAAATCCTTGATGTGAAGTTAATAGTTTCTCCTTGTTAGTACTTAGATGATGATCTAAATGAGTTTGAATATAAAAATTATTTTGCATAAGAAATATATAAACAATATATGAACAATTACTTTTAGTAATGCTTGTTTTGTCATCTTCTGATTAATTTCTGGACAGTTAGTGATCTTTTTGGCACGATGAGCATAGTCCAAAGTGCTCAATGTTTCTTCTACATTGCTTTGAGCTGGAGAAATGGTAGCTATAATTGACGTTTTAGTGCGACCTCCAAGAGAGTCTTGAAGAAGCCGGGTGAGTTTGCTCTCTCTGAAAATAAATTTATTCAAATGTTAATTTTTGTTTTGTATTGATAAATTAAAACAAAAATAAATAAAAAGACATTTTACCGATAAGGAATGTGAGGAGCCTTCTCAACTAAAGAAGTGATAACTCTTCCAAGTGTCAGAAGACTTTGATTGATATTTCCTGTAAATAAAATGAAGATAATTTTTAGGAATAATCAACAATTTAACTTTAGTCAAATTTACATTCATACCTGCTTCTCGTGCACGTCCATCTATTGCACCAGATCGGCCTATATTTTCACTACCAGCCAAATCAACCTGTATAATGTGTGTTAAATGTTTTTAACATTTACTTGTATTAAAATATTTTTAGACCATTTTTAAAAATAAAAATATATCATACAAGATTAAGCTTTCCAGTTTTAAGTAATTCATCACCATTAGTAGTAGTTTCTTTAACATGCATTGTAATGGAAAATACAGTGTGACTACGACTAGAAGTAGCATTGAGCATAGTAGCAGCTGTTTTTCGTTTAGCCGATCCTCTTTCCAAAATTTTATAAACTTCATTTCTTGAATGAACAGATATTTCTTCTAATCCTTGAATTACAACAGAACCCTATGAAATAACATCAAAAAATAAGTTTGATTTTCTACTGATATATATATATTTATACTTTTAAATATCTACAAAATTATAAAATTAAATCAGTTTAAACTAATAAAATTTATAGAATACATTATCATAATTTTTATGCAAGACAAATAATATTCAAGAAAATAAATACCAGAAACAGTATTTTTAAGTATATTTTTAATAAAATCTGTATATAACCTGTATTAAATGTACAGTATATGTGTGTCTAAAATTAATTACAAATTAAAATGTGATCGACAATGTAATTTTTTGTCCCACTGTATATGGAATAAAAATCATATTTCTATAAAAGCATGTATGCAAAAAATATGATAATAATATTTGGACATAAAAATTTTGCTTGCTAACAAAACTGTTTTTGATTTAATAACAAAAAATATCTTTTCAATTTTATCATACTGATTTATGTCTCCAGATATAAATCTTAGAAACTTGTTCACATATTTTTACTTCAAAACTTTTATATATTGTTTAGAATAAATAATGTTATTCAATAATGTCAAAAATAAAAAATGAAATATCCTTTAAATACTTGTGTCGTAAGATCAAAAAGAAAAAAACATAATTTTGTTTTATGATATCTACAAGGGTAGTTTAACTTCTGTCCAGAATTTCAGTAATGACCAACTATATGTGCTACATAGTCGTACAGGTAACCCCCGTATAACACGGTAGTTACGTTCCAAAAAATTGCCGTGTTATACGAAACAAAGAACTAATACGAAAAGGAGGGTTAGGTTCCAAAAATTAAAAAACATATTAGTATATTTTCATAATTAAGATAAATATCTTCATTAAATGTTTTTAAGTGATACATATTAATATGAAATTAAACAATGTTCATCATCACTAAAAACACTATTAATTAACCGAGTGTGTTTTCTTTTTGGCAAGTTATCCTTATCCTCTGAGCATTTTTCTGCATTATCCTCAGATCCATGCTTTACCTTTTGCAAAATGTATGTAATTTTAGATTGCTTGCTTCTAGTTAAAAGGTCTTTATAAATTTCCTTATATGGTGCTAAGCACTTATGAAGAATAAAGCAAGTATGGAATAAGGTAAAAACATTCGGCAACATCAGAAGCAGAAGTGTCGCGATCTGGCAATATTGAAACAAGTTTCGAGAAGGACCACGTGTATCGACAGAAGGCGAGAAGAGAAAATTTACATACTTAAGTACTAATAGTTCACGAAAATAATAATTTTTGTGAACTATTATTACTTAAGTATGTAAAAATTTATTACATTTCCTGTTGTACGAGGGTTTTACCCAATTCTCGAACCGTGTCAGAGTGAATCCGTGCTATAAAAGTACCGTGTTATACGGGGGATGGTACCAATTCTCAAACCGTGTTAGAGCGAATCCGTGCTATAGAAGTGCCGTGTTATACGGGGGTTACCTGTAATTTATGTTTATGTTTATTTTTCTAGGTATTCCTCCCTCTCCACATGCTGACACTTCTCTTGTCATTTTGCTAATAATGTTATGCCTGCAGAATAGAAGTCTTTTGATTGATTTCAGAGTATGGCCCAGTACACAGTGGAGGTAATCAACTAACTTTGTTGGAAAATTCTGGACCAATCAACCTACAGTCCAGATCTGTCACATTATAATTGCCTGTTCGGTCCTTTGAAGGAAATTTTAGAAAACAAGAGCTTCATTCAGAGTGCTAAAGTCTCTCTAAGTTTGGAGTTCATAATGCAGTAGAGCTCTTACAGTGATGTCACAGCCACTGCATTATAAACTGCATCAAAAAATTTCTATTCTGCAGGCTATCATTGCCAAAACAACAGACATGTCAGCATGTGGAAATGATGTACTGTGCCTAAAGGAAAAAAATATAAATTATGACTATATTAACATGTACAGTTTCATCACCATTACTGAAATTCACTCTTATATAATTTTCAAATTTTTTAGATGAGATTATTTATTTGATAATCTTTAATGAAAGAAGGAAAACATCTTTCATTAAAATATTTCATTTTAAGTAAATTTTTCTTTATGTTCCTTTTCAGATTTTAATTGTTTTCATTTCTTATATTGTAAACTTTTTATTCATTATTTTGTTTATTATTCATTCAAGATATACCAAGATATACATTTGTGTTTGTAATATTCTAACAAACATGGAAATTAGCATTGCTTATTTTTGTGGATATTGTATGGCAGATTCTTTATAATTTATAAGAGTACATAAATATTCTGAACTCACTTTTGTATTAAACTATTTAATGCAACAATTATGTTTTCTAATGTAGTCAGTGTGTTTGTAATATTTTTTATTTAAAAATTCAGTTTTCTTAAATTCAAAACTATGTTGTTGTAAGGTTTATTGACTGTGTGCGATTGTCAAGACAATCGTGTGTGAGCATGAAATTAACATTGAGACAAGTTTACCACCTTTACCTGTTTAGTAAAAATGTTTAAAGGTTTTCTTACAAATATCTCTGTGTCTGTCGACACAAATTTACAAGGATAGTCTGGTAAAGTCACAAATATTCCCAAATGTGTCTTCTTCAGTTCCTCATTATGGTCGGCAGATTCGATGGCCCAGGAGCACACTGTAGCTTGGAAAAGGATAGCATTTGTCATAAAAATAAAACTTGAAGAGCACAAAAAACTCTGAGAGATTGAACACCTCTTGGAGATAGATGAAAGGTCAAACAGCAAATTTTTATGACAAAACAAAAGGTTTGGAACAAAGAACATCATGTCCTTGAAACGCATGTTTATATAAGTTTCCCCCCTCGATTTTGCACTCCGATTGGACTCCCCTTTTTGAATTTTTCAATTTGAAACCTTTCAGGAGAGGTCAATTTCACAACTAAACCAAATGCCAGTTCGTCTAAAATTTCTGTGACTTTGATATTCTCCTTGCAATTCAAATCCTCTGTTTTCTGTTTTGTTGGGAAGAACTTTTATTGTTTAAGCTAGACTTTAAGTCTTGCTTTGTTTAATTAACTTGGCCAAGTTTACATAGCATTACAAAAAACTCTGTTCTTTAGGCCCCCCAAAAAATTTTTCCCCCAATTTTTGGATACTTTTTAGGTCTCCAAATTTTTTCAAAAATTTTTACCCATGCGAAAAAATTTTATCGCAATTTTAATCAACCTTTAATGACACGCAATTAACGCTTAATTGTTTTTTAATGCGATTTTTTAATCAAAATTAATTAATCGTTCTAAAGTTGTAGTGCACGGATTTGACTTCAGTAAAGTTATTTAAAGCTACTTTCTGATGTCAAAAACGACCTCCAATAGTTTTTTAATTTTTTTAATTAATAAATAAGTTTAATTAAATCGGGGGGGTCAGAAATCGCAATTAAAATTTTAATTTTTTAAAAATATTTAAAAATATACTGCCAGCTAGTATTCACCCTACTTTAAACTCTTGTCCTCCCGAGACGTCTATGAGAATGTCCCGGGAAATCCGACACCAGATGTTCTCAAGATCATCCAGCTGTAAATACAATGACTCATCGGTGTCAAATTTCACAGAAAGGCGAGACAAAGGAAGTTAAACTTTGAAGCCTTTTCTTCAAAATTAATGCATTTCTTTAGTTTTTTTTTTTCAGTTTTAATTATTTTTTATGTTTAATTATAATTAATTAAAAATTGATCGGGAATCAAGCGGTTAATTCTGAAAGGTGAGAACTTAACTCGCTGGATTTTCATCATTCAAAAATTTCATGTTATTTAATGGAACAAAGAAAAATATTGTATACCCTATTTCCTCAATTAAATGCAGGGTTTCTTATCTTGCAATAGCAGAAAAATGGATTCAAATTAAAAGAAATATTTTAATTCCTTGTAAATTTTCCAAACTATCAAAACCACATATTGACTGTATTTATGGATTATAGCTACAAAATTTTAAATAATTACTGTTTTCATAGTTAATCTGATCTAGCTTCTCCCAATTCATTATTATATTGCCATTCATGTCTACTTTGATGTAGAAATCAAGAGCTTGACTATTAACTTCTGATTCAAATTCACCACCTGTTTCCAATCTGAGATTTTATTATCCTTCAGTTGATAAGATCTCAACTTATGAACTTGGCTGTAACTTTTCCATGCTCAATTTTTGACAGTATTTATAATTTTACTTACAAAAATATTCCCATAAACCTTGAAATCAAAAGAGATAACTGATTCTAGACAATTTGAAGAAGCAGAATTTTAATTAAATGCCTTACCTGCCACTCTAAACTACATTATTCTACACAGTGCAGTATTTCAATATGTTTCACATGCTTTTCAATCTGGGGTTTATAAAAAAGATTGAGAAAAACTGGACTATGGCTAGAACCCTAGTCCAATTTTTCTCTACCTTCTTTATAATCAAAGAAATACAGTATTTATATGCTTTATTTGAAAGAACACAAAAATTTAAAGCTGTAATTGTTTTATTCAAAGTCTCTTTGAAGAAATCTGTTACTGATATTTCCAACTCCTTCTTTAACCAACATTAATAAATTCTATTTAAATTTCTCTGCATAGGAACATAGGAATTCAGTTTCATGTTAATATAGCATTAAATAATATGTTTTTACTATCTTTTTCCCATAATATTTATACAATAGAATTTCTTATCCTCATAGATGGCCTAACCACTACCGTTCACAATAGAAATAACTTTACCACAAATTGCAGATCATCATTTGTTGAAAGAATTATTAGATTACTTCATAATTTTTAATTATTTCCAATAATAAAATTATGAATATCAAAACATTTAACCACCTTTGATCATTTAACAATATAGGGTCTTTGAAGTTACATTCATTCAATAAAAAATTTAAATTGTTCAAAACAAAAGTATACAATTTATAACAACTTATTTACTCCTTTATATTATACAGAATTTCTGTGTTGATTTCTCAAACTTATCCAATTGTTATTTCTATATGTAAATGTTGTTTACTGAGTGCAAATAAAGCTTTCTAGCACTTAAAAATAATTTGTTATTTATATAATTATCCTATTAAATTACCTTGCGTGTGGCATCTTCAAAAAGACGTAGCTTTAAGTTGCTAGTTTCAGGACTCAAAAGATCAAACAATTCTTCGTTATACAACTCAAGAAAAGAAATATGCAAAGTAAACTCAACATCTTGTTTCTCAAGTTCGTCAAACAGATGATTAAGTGCTCTTGGTATTATTCCTATCTTTGGATGCTAAAAGAAGTAAGTTTTAAAATTTTTACTGTTAACTTTTTTTCAAAAATTAAAACACATTTAGCAATTACAGTCGACCCCCCTATAATTACGGTCCCTATAATTACGATTCCTATAAAACTACAAAAAAATTGCTACCAGTATCCATAAAAAATAGTAAAAGTTCCCTATAAACACCTCAAACGTCATTGGGCAGCCGAACTACTTTCCCGCCGTCCGTAGCGCCACGCTATGGAGAGATTTCTATCGTCTGGACAGTATTATATAAATTATATATAAATTAGGTACTGTACATATAATTATATATTAATTATATATTAACTTATTGTAACTTTGTTATAATTAAATATATAATTTCCGCCGTCTAGCGTGGCGCCACGCAACGGAGATTTTTACTAACTATCGTCTGTCAGTATGTAAATTAGGTACCATAAGTCTAATACAGTACTGTAATTTTATACATTTCTTGTGAAAGAAACATTTCTTATTCAACGGCGATTAAAATTATTTATATTAATGATGTCTCCGACGTTCAAGGAACTATTCGCAGAAAAATAAGTTATTAGAAATCGGCCGCGGTTTGGTGAGCTGTTCCGCGATGAAAACAATGTTGAGCAATGGCGATGTCGAATGGTGACACTCGGTAAGTAATCCTACAATTTTTTGTTTATAGCGTAGTTTATACGGATTATTTCCAAAAAATATATACGTGTTTTGGAAATGTTGAGTCGGATTAGTCTAGAATCGATTAATTTTATGGAAGAAAATCTTTCAAACAGCCGTAGTCCGTAAACTTGATATGTGTCGGGTTGTGATTGGAAGGATTCGTAAGAAATCGGATTCCTAAAGAATGGAACGTATCTCTATCTTATAGGGGGGTCGACTGTATTTAACAAGGATTTTTTAAAATATTGCTAAAAACATACTTTATCCCATGCTGAAATATCCAAGTTATGATCCCCTTCCATTGTATATGTCTTCCCACTTCCTGTCTGACCATAACTGATGTTTAAAAATAAGATTTTTAAACCATTTTTAATATAATTTGGTAAATCTTAAAAATTCTAAATATTCGAAAGCATTCCTACTCACACAAATACTGTACAATTATATCCCATTAACACTTCTTCAATAACAGGATTCATTACTGTTTTATAGATATCATCCTAAAAAAATATATACAAAATAATAAATGTAATTACCAAAAACCAGTTTTATTTTAAATTAAAAAGAATACCAACTACCTGACCACAACTTGGGCCAAATACTTTATCAAACTTAAAGACTTTGGTACATTCTCTACCTCCATTTTTTTCTTGAACTCTTATTTCTTTCAGTTCTGAACATACTTCCACAACTGAAAATGAAGTGCTTTTTTCAGCACTGTTTATAGGCCTAAAATTAAAAGAAAATAATATAATTTATTTAAAAAAATATGTTATAACTGAAATTATTTTTGAAGAGCTTGAGATTAATAATTAAAATTCTTCCTGGAATATAAATCCAACCTTTGCTTATAATACAGTACATTGTAAATTTCAATGACTTTTAAAAAATAACATTTTTGTACATTGAAAAAACTATGTTGAGGATATTTTAAAATTTTATTGTAAAGTTCATTATGAAAAGATTGATGATAAAATTCTTTACAATGTTTTTACATTAATTAATAATAAAACTTTTACTGTAAAATTAAAAACCATTCAAATTAAAACATTTAATATATCATTAAAATATCTTAAAGATGCATTAAAATTTAAATTTTAAATACAGCAATTAATTTACATAATAAAAATTATAAAGCAAGCAACTTTATTGAACATTCAAAAGGAAATGATGAGGACTGAAGCATTGAGATGTAAAAGATGTAGCTAGGATAATGAATGATGTGTTTTGAAGATTATGTAAAGTTAGAGACAGATCAGTAAAACTTATCTTTCATTTTATTAATACACACTGGGAGAATCTTCAAAAAGTAATCAAAACTAATACTTTTTATTTCTTTTAGAATTGTCACCAATAGATATAAATAATAATAATAAATCCAAAATAATAAACTAAAGATTTATGTAAATGAATGTCTATATGGAAAAGTATTAAAGATTTATTTACTCTAAGAAAAAGAAAAGTATTTCATATATTAAATTCAGTTATTTTTCATATGAAACATTATACAAATACTGTATAAACACATTCTATTTTATAAATTTTCACACATTTTTCAGCCTTTTCTGTGCAATTTTTTTTCATAAATGTGATAATTCATAAACTCTTCTAAACCACCCTTTCATTTCATTTCTGAAAATTCTCATCTGTTAATATTGTATCATCATTAGTATACATTGTAAAGATTAAAGAGAAACAGAAAATTGTTATAAACAGTAATTTAATGATAAAACTCAGAACACTTAATATCTCTGTATTACTTTCTTTATATTTTCACTAGCTGGTATACCTGGAAATGTTCAGATTATCTTAAGACAGGTGTGTCAAACTCATTTAAACAATGGGCCACTTAATGCAACTGGTAAGATTCATGCAAGCCACATCACATTTACAAATTTTCTAAAAATTATAATTTGAAGTGAGAATGCAGGAATATAGATAGAGCAATTAAAACACATTATGTAGTTCAGTGAATTCAACTCAATATATAATTGCTATAGTATTGCTTTTATTTAAACATTTATTTTGTTTAATGTACATATTTATAAAACTAAAATTAATTGTTTTTACCAGAAACTTGCCAGCACTTTTTTTATATTGATTTTGTTTTCGACACTGTTTCTCATAAAAATACATAGTTAATCAACAATTAACTTTATTCACTCTTGGATACAACTGACTGGGGTGACTGCGACAACTACACGAGGACTCTCTCAGACAAACAAAAAGTACGTTGGAATTTCCATCTTTGACTTGATATCCAGATCAAATTACAACTTTCTTCCTCCTACTAGTTTTCCAATATCTACATTCAAAGACTGAGAACAAATAATCTTCATTATGGCAGATAGATGTTTATCAGTTAATCTTGATCTGTAAGCTGTTTTATTTAATTTCATGCATGAAAATAATTGCTCACATAAGTATGTACTGTACTTCCAAAAAAGCATAAAATTTGTGCAGCAAACGTTTTAATTTCCGAGAATTTTTCACCTAGATAGGAATATATTTTGGGAGTTCCTACTTCTCGATATTTGTCTTTTAAAACCCAATCATTCTAGAAATCAATTAATTCCAGTTGTATCAAAGTTGGAGTTTTTTCAACTTCAAAGGAAAAAGGTCCAATGAAAAGAGAAAAAATTCCTTGTAACTCTTTGAAATCATCAAAACATTTATCAAATTCATTTTTGATTTCTTCAATTTTATCAACATATTGTGAAAATGAGCAACTTTGATTTTTTGCTTTTAACTGCTCACACAGGGAAATACGTCAAAACTTTTTTTTTGCAAGTGATTTTTAAACAAAGTCAAAGTCAGTTTTTTTTTACAAAACTTACAATTGTTCGTTAATAACTGATCTTTGCTTTACAATGTAATATTAAGATTATTCAGATCTGTAATAACTGTTAAAAATGCTAGGTCTTTTACCCATAATGGATCTTTTATAACCAATATATTTTTGTTGTTTTCATCTTTCATTTCAAGAAATAATATTATTTCCTCCAAAAGCAGATAGAAGCTCTTCAAAACTTTGTGGCAGGACAAACAACAAATTTCTGTGTAATAAGGAAGATCTTCAAATTTGGATTCTAAAGCTTAGTTCACACTGGGCGCGATTCGCTGGCGAAAGCGAAAAACAGAGCGAATAACCAGTGAAACATGACTCGTTTGACGGGTTATTTGCTCTGTTTTTCGCTTTCGCCAGCAAATCGCGCTCAGTGTGAACTAAGCTTAAATCTTTAAGGAACAAAGCAAATTGGCGATGGTTAAGTGATCTCGGTCGAATAAAGTTGACTGTCTTTGTAACTATTTTAACTTTTAAGTACTTCATCCATTTTTAATAATTTTAAACAGAGAACTTGTTGGTGAATAAAGCAATGGAAAGCCTTGATTTTTGGTTTATCTGGATACCCATCTTGTAATTTTCTTGTCAGTTGTGACACAAATTCTTTAGTTTCATCCATCATCGATTTAGCACCATCAGTTGTTACAGAAACAAGCTTGTCAAGAGGAAGCTTACATTTTTCTAAATGGCTCCATACAGCATCAAAAACATTTTCACCAGTTGTTGTTCTGGAAAGAGGGATAATTTTCAACAATTCTTTGATAATTTTCATGTTATCACAACCATGAAATAAGAACAGCAACTTGTGCAGCATCTCTTACATTGTGCTTTCATCAATCACAATTGAAAAGCACTGGATTTTGGAATATATTTTCTGTAGTTGTGAACTGACGTCATCTGCCATTTCCATAATTCTGTCTGCCACCATATTTCTTGATAATGAGATATCTTGAAATGCCTGTACCTTTTCTGGGCAGACAAATTTGACAGCTTTTATCATACATTCCTTGATTAAAGAACCATCAATGAATGATTTAGAATGTTTTGCTAATAAATAGCTTATTTCATAATTGGCTCTTGTACTCTTTATGAATTTTGTAAGCACTTATTACTGGCTATTAAGTGAATTTTTCATTGTTTTTAATTTTTCTTCTCTTATTTTTTCTTTGAAGTACGAAAATTGTTCTTTGTGATTAGTGCTATTTTAGGTTGCTTAATATTGTATTCTTTAGCAACACTAATTGTTTATTTGCAAATTAAGCATGTAATTTTATTGTTCACTTCCAGACAAAAATAGTTCAGCTCCCACATTTCTTGAAATTTTCTTCCCTTGTCATCAATCTTTCATTTTTTATTTAGTGTTAAAAGTGACATTTTCTGTATAAAAATTAGGGTTTAAATTTAAATTTTAAAAATGAAAATAACTGCAACTACAGGTAACCCCCATATAACACAGCACTTCTATAGCACGGATTCACTCTAACACGGTTCGGGAATTGGGTAAAACCTCGTACAACATAAAATGTAATAAAGAGTGTGTTCTTTTATACCTCTGCGTAACTCCACGCAAGCATTCTAATTGTTTTCGTGGCTACTTTGAATGCTCTTTCAACAAATAATCCATTTAATGGTTAAATTTTACAATTGGAACCCTTCTCTTGCCTATAAAACTTCATTTTAAAATTATGAATTCTTCCATCACGATACTATCGATAGTGCGGGCACCGCCATCTTTCTTTCACTGTTGTTCCTAAATGCCTACAAACAGCAGCGTACCCCTGTTGCAGAGCGATGCTATTAACGAATGCACCCAAAAACCAATTACCAGTTGATGATGCTCATGCTGAGATCATCATATAGGATCATATAGGATCTCTGGTAAAATATTTACTTAAATAATAAATAAGTATTTTACCTGTGAAAAAAATGAATAACAAATCCAATTTAAATAAGGATTTAACAGCATGTTTTTTAATTTTTGGAACCTAACCCCCTTTTCACACTAGTTCTTTGTTTCATATAACACAAATTCGCATAACACAGCAATTTTTTGGAACATAACTCCCATGTTATATGGGGGTTACCTGTACATTTATAACTTATTTTTAAAAAATGTAAGTATAAGAAAATAATCCACAAATCTTTTAACACATCAATCAGGACAAAGAAACTAGCACAAATGCCTTTTGTTAAAATTCAAAGAAAATATGGTTACGCACTTCAACTGTGGTGGCTGTGCCTACCCCGCCACATGAAACCAGTCGTATATGGCTCTGCAAGCAAAAAGACTTTTTAGCAAGTTTTGTAGCTTGGCATCTCTAGACTGAAATTAGCTTGAAGTTACTGGCAAGTGCATAACCACATTCTAGTCTCCCATGGTTGACCAGTGCATCATAGCAACAAAGTAATGGTTACTTGCTATTTTTTTCATAACATATTGTTCTGTATTTTGTTTTATTGCAGAGAATCATGGCCATGGGTCACGAAAAATCACATTGGGCTGCCAGTTTGACACCTGTTTAAAAAAAAAAAAAAACATAATATAGATTTAAAAAACTACAGATGGTTTTATAGTTGGTGACTATGCACTTGAATATTTGCTTCTGTTAGTGTCAGCAAATATTGTTGCTTTTCCTTTTATCCTCCCCAATGAAATTTTTTATTTGTGTACAGTGCCTTTGTACATGGTGCGATGCCAAAATCCAGACAAAATTCAATTTCAAATTCCCACTGTTCTATAGGCCTACCACTGGGAGATGTCATGTTTGGTGTTCAAATAGCTTGTCACATATACTAAACCATCATAACCTCAAAACAGTCACAATATTGAAACCAAGTGTGGAGTATAACCGAAGAGCCGTGATTATCAAAAGTGTTCATGCTG